GACCACAACATGAGGAACTGCGTTATGGGGTCGCGGCGTTAGGAAGGTTGGAAACACTGGTTTTACCAATTGTGCCACTGGGGGCTGTTTACGAGTAAACCAAAGGGTTGCAGCATTAAGAAGGTTGGGAACCACTGGATTACAGCCTTGCTTATCTCTCATTACTTAGTTTCCTTCTCTTTTACCAAAATTGCTTCCGAGTTTGCTTCAAAGCATTTACTTAGGCGATCCTTTGCAGCTCGAGGATGATGGTCTTCCAGATGTAGTGTCTTGGCAGTGGGTCCTTAGGTGGCTGTGGAGTCTGATTCTTGATCCGCAGGTCCAGCAGAGTTGATAGCAGAGGAGCATTGCATCAAATTGTTCCAGGGCTTGAGTGTGACGTCGGTAGACAGTCCACGTTTCACAGGCATATAAGAGGGTTGGAAGGACAATAACTTTATAAGCAAGCCCCTTGGTCTCCCTATGGATGTCCCAATCCCCAAACACTCTCTGCTTCATTTGGAAAAATGTGTTACGTTTGCTCCAGATCTCTCAACCATTTTCCAGGACTTGAGTGTGACATCTGTAGACAGTCCACGTTTCGCAGGCGTATAGCAGGGTAGGGAGGACAATGGCTTTTAAAACAAGCCCCTTGGTCTACCTACAGATGTCCCAATGCTCAAACTCTGCTTCATTCAGAAAAATACATTACGTTTGCTCCAGATCTCTCAACCATTTTCCAAGACTTGAGTGTGATGTCTGTAGACAGCCCATGTTTTGCAAGCATATAGCAGGGTAGGGAGGACAATAGTTTTATAAACAAGCCCCTTGGTCTCCTTACGGATGTCCCAGTCCTCAAACACTCTCTGCTTCATTTGGAAAAATGTGTTATGTTTGCTCCAGATCTCTCAACCATTTTCCAGGACTTGAGTGTGACATCTGTAGACAGTCCACGTTTCGCAGGCGTATAGCAGGGTAGGGAGGACAATGGCTTTCAAAACAAGCCCCTTGGTCTTCCTACAGATGTCCCAATCCTCAAACACTCTCTGCTTCATTTGTTAAACCGTGTTACGTTTGCTCCAGATCTCTCAACCATTTTCCAGGACTTAAGTGTGATGTCTGTAGACAGTCCACGTTTCGCAGGCGTATAGCAGGGTAGGGAGGACAATGGCTTTCAAAACAAGCCCCTTGGTCTTCCTACAGATGTCCCAATCCTCAAACACTCTCTGCTTCATTTGGAAAACCATGTTACGTTTGCTCCAGATCTCTCAACCATTTTCCAGGACTTAAGTGTGACATCTGTAGACAGTCCACGTTTCGCAGGTGTATAGCAGGGTAGGGAGGACAATGGCTTTCAAAACAAGCCCCTTGGTCTTCCTACAGATGTCCCAATGCTCAAACACTGCTTCATTTGGAAAAATACATTACGTTTGCTCCAGATCTCTCAATCATTTTCCAGGACTTGAGTGTGACATCTGTAGACAGTCCACGTTTCGCAGGTGTATAGCAGGGTAGGGAGGACAATGGCTTTCTAATCAAGCACCTTGGTCTTCCTACAGATGTCCCAATGCTCAAATTCTGCTTCATTCGGAAAAATGCATTACGTTTGCACCTGATCTCTCAACCATTTTCCAGGACTTAAGTGTGACATCTGTAGACAGTCCACGTTTCACAGGCGTATAGCAGGGTAGGGAGGACAATGGCTTTCAAAACAAGCCCCTTGGTCTTCCTACAGATGTCCCAATGCTCAAACTTTGCTTCATTCGGAAAAATACATTACGTTTGCTCCAGATCTCTCAACCATTTTCCAGGACTTAAGTGTGATGTCTGTAGACAGTCCACGTTTCGCAGGCGTATAGCAGGGTAGGGAGGACAATGGCTTTCAAAAGAAGCCCCTTGGTCTTCCTACAGATGTCCCAATGCTCAAACTCTGCTTCATTCGGAAAAATACATTACGTTTGCTCCAGATCTCTCAACCATTTTCCAGGACTTAAGTGCAATGTCTGTAGACAGTCCACGTTTCGCAGGCGTATAGCAGGGTAGGGAGGACAATGGCTTTCAAAACAAGCCCCTTGGTCTTCCTACAGATGTCCCAATCATCAAACACTCTCTGCTTCATTCGGAAAAATACATTACTTTTGCTCCAGATCTTTCAACCATTTTCCAGGACTTAAGTGTGATGTCTGTAGACAGTCCACATTTTGCAGGCATATAGCAGGGTAGGGAGGTCAATGGCTTTCAAAACAAGCCCCTTGGTCTTCCTACAGATGTCCCAATGCTCAAACTCTGCTTCATTCGGAAAAATACATTACGTTTGCTCCAGATCTCTCAACCATTTTCCAGGTGTGATGTCTGTAGACAGTCCACGTTTCGCAGGTGTATAGCAGGGTAGGGAGGACAATGGCTTTCAAAACAAGCCCCTTGGTCTCCCTACAGATGTCCCGATCATCAAACACTCCCTGCTTCATTTGGAAAAATGCATTACGTTTGCTTCAGACCTCTCAACCATTTTTTCGGCTCTTTTGAACACCAAAGAAAGGAAGGAAAAGAAAGAGCCTGACCCTGGAACACTTTGGGAATGTACATCTCCATTAGAGCCATTGGGGCAATTTCTCTCGGAGGCCGGCCACAATAACACTTCCCCCCCTTTTTCCTGAACTGTAGGCTTTCAACTGTGTGTGTTTCTTAATTCACGGTGAATTTATTTTTAAAGCTGGGCTTGAAAGCATTTCCGAGACCCTTTCCCCTCCCTTTCCCCCCTCGCTATCCTCCTTTATTGATGCCATATCGCAGAGGAAGCCATAATGGAAGCTGTTTTATACCTGCCTATCCCTTGAGGGCTCATTAGGTAGCCAGAGGGAAAAGTCACAGCCGTAAAAGAAAGGAGGGGAGGCAACCAGGACGGAGGGAGGAGAGGTGTGGGATGGAGACGGGAGGAAAGATGATACAATACAGGAATACGGAATTGGACGGGCTGTGGACCTTGAGTGACACCACGTATGTTGACATTGCATCCTTACTTAGGCGATCCCTCGTAGCTCAAGGATGATTGTCTTCCAGATATGGTGTCTTGGCGGTTGTCCGTAGGTAGCTGTGGAGTCCTATTCTTGATCCGCATGTTCTCCCGCAGTGAGAACACAGGTTTCCAGATGGGTCAGGGTTGGCTTGATGTGCATTCCTCTTGGCACATTTCTCCCTTTCTCCCTCCATTCGTGCCTCTTCGAATTTTGCAGCACTACTGGTCACAGCTGATCTCCAGTTGGAACATTCAAGGTCCAGGGCTTCCCAGTTCTCGGCGTCTATGCCACAGTTTTTAAGGTTGGTTTAAGCCCATCTTTGAATCTCTTTTCCTCTCCACTAACATTTCGTTCTTGAGTTCAGAGTTGAGTAACTCCTTTTGGGAGACGGTGCATTTGGACAATGGGATCAGTCTAGCAGAGCTGATGGTGGAGGAGAATGGCTTCAATACTGGTGGTCTTTGCTTCTTCTAGCACGCTGACAGTTGTCCGCCAATCTTCCCAAGAGAGTTGCAGGATTTTTTGGAGACAGTCTGATGAAATCGCAGTTTGGGAGTGATCCTGGACTCATTGCTGAGCCTGGAGCCCCAGGTTTCAGTGGTGGTCAGGGGAGCTTTTGCACAATGAAAACTTGTGCGCCAGCTGCGCCCGTACCTTGGGAAGTCTGACTTGGCCACGGTGGTCCACGCTTTGGTTACATCCCGTTTAGATTACTGCAATGCTCTCTACATGGGGTTGCCTATGAAGACTGCCCGGAAGCTCCAACTAGTCCAACGTGCGGCAGCCAGAATGCTAACACGAGCAGGGTACAGGGAGCATACCTCCTCTGTTGCGCCAGCTCCACTGGCTGCCAATTAGCTTCCGAGCACAATTCAAAGTGCTGGTGTTAACCTATAAAGCCCTAAACGACTCTGGCCCAGTTTACCTGTCCGAACGTATTCTCCCCTATGAACCATCTAGGTTGTTAAGATCGTCTGGAGGGGCCCTGCTCTCGGTCCCACCGGCCTCTCAGGCGCGTCTGGTGGGGACGAGGGACAGGGCCTTCTCGGTGGTGGCCCCTCGACTCTGGAACTCTCTCCCACTGGAGATCAGAACTGCCCCCTCCATTCTGTCATTCAGAAAACGGGTGAAAACCTGGCTATGGAGTTTGGCTTTTGACGAGTGAATCAATATTTCTGTGATCGGATAGATGACGATGAATGATGGACAACGAATTCACTATGACGACTGACCATTGTTTTTATGTGATTGCATTTTGCTGTTATAACATTTTAATTGAATATGTTATATGATGTTTTTAATGATTGTTTTGTGATTTTATTGTTGGAAACCGGCCCGAGTCCCCCGATAGAGGGGAGAGGACCGGTATACAAAATTGCTAAATAAATAAAATAAATCATTCCAGGAGTTGTGTATGACATCCAGTTAAGAGCTGAAATTGGTTTTTTCAATTCCATTCAAACACAGGTGAGCAATGTTACAAATAATAATAATAATAATAATAATAATAATAATAATAATAATAATCTTTATTTATAATGCGCCACCATCTCCCCAAACATGAGGCCAAGCCCAAAATAATACAACATAATAAACACACAATAACAAAATACATCATAACAAAATATGAAATAATAAAATCAACAATATAAAACAGCATAGTAAAACCGGACACAGAGGGCGGGCCAATGTATGAGGCAAAATGTTAAAAAGTTAAAACCCTGGGTGAGATAGGGATAAAAGTACATTTGTAGGAGAGGAGCTTGGAACAGCCCTCCCCTTGGCTGAGAGGCCAGTTGAGAGGCCAGCCAATCACAGCAGGAGGATCTGTTTTCCATCGGTTTTCCAAATGGAAGAGAAGGACAGGCAAAGAGATCTTCAGCCTTCTCTGCCTAAGGCATTCCTAAGACCATCAGAAATATGCTGCCCCCAAAATGTGTGTGTGCATTTGCAAGCTTCGAGTTGTCTCCATCAAGACACATTCACACATTTATGGACACTGACCTTCACTCTTGGAGGCTTCATCCAGTGCTGGATGTCATCTACTGTCTCATTGGCAAGTAACAAGATGGGTTCCGTGTGATGATCCAGGCACAAGATGGTACACTCAGCCCCTTGAAAAGAAGGAGGGCGAGAGAGTGGCCACATTATTCATGTACTCCATCCTTTTTCATACATCTAATTCAGTGGTTCCCAACCTTTTTTTGACCAAGAACCACTTGACCAGGGACCACTATCCAACATTAGTACCAAATCAGTTTTTGGTCAACTTTAGATTTGGTTTGTTTAGCTGGGATGCTGACTCAGAAAATTGCATTGGATAGACCACATCAGCTCTAGTTTCTGATACAGAACATATGCCATCCAGTAGTCACCATCTGCTCACCTACAGAAATCCATATTTAATAAGCCTCAGCACTATAAGAGGATGTGTTATTGCCCCAACTCTATTCTCCATCTTCATCGCTATGATACTTCACCTTGTTGATGGGAAGCTTCCCACCGTAGTGGAAATCATCTATCGGACAGATGGCAAGCTGTTTAACCTCAGCAAACTCAAAGCCAAAACCAAAGTTACAACAACATCTGTTATAGAACTCCAGTATGCTGATGACAATGTCATCTGTGCACATACAGAAGAAGATCTACAAGCCACTCTAAACACCTTCGCAGAAGCATACACAAAACTTGGCCTGTCACTGAACATCGAGAAAACCAAAGTGCTGTTCCAGCAGTCACCAGCCACCCCCTCCCCAATGCCAGAGATACAGCTTAATGGTGTCACATTAGAAAATGTTGACCATTTCCGCTACCTTGGCAGCCACCTCTCCACCAAAGTCAACATCGATGCCGAAATACAACACCGCCTGAGCTCTGCAAGTGCAGCATTTTTCCAAATGAAGCAGAGAGTGTTTGAGGACCAAGACATCCATAGGGATACCAAGGTGCTTGTCTATAAAGCTATTGTCCTCCCAACCCTGCTATGTGCCTGTGAGACGTGGACTGTCTACAGACGTCACATGCATCTCCTGGAACGATTCCATCAGCGCTGCCTCCGGAAAATCCTGCAAATCTCCTGGGAAGACAAGCGGACAAACGTCAGTGTGCTGGAAGAAGCAAAGACCACCAGCATTGAAGCAATGGTCCTTCAACATCAACTCCGCTGGGCCGGTCACGTTGTCCGGATGCCTGACCACCGTCTCCCAAAGCAGCTGCTCTACTCTGAACTTAAGAACGGAAAATGGAATGTTGGTGGACATGAAAAGAGATTTAAAGACGGGCTCAAATCCAACCTTAAAAACTCTGGCATAGACACTGAGAACTGGGAAGCTCTAGCCCTTGAGTGCTCCAGCTGGAGGTCAGCTGTGACCAGCAGTGCTGCAGAATTCGAGGAGGCACGAGTGGAGGGTGAAAGAGAGAAATGTGCCAGGAGGAAGGCGCGTCAAGCCAACCCTGACCGGGACCGCCTTCCACCTGGAAACCAATGCCCACACTGCGGAAGAAGGTGCAGAGCAAGAACAGCCACATGCGGACCCACAAGGAAACCCATAATGGAAGACCACCCTACTCGTCCAACGAGGGATCGCCTAAGTAAGTAAGTATAAGAGGGTTTCGTGAGATCAGTCACTCTCGTTGCAACAGTTTAGTAACGGTGAGGCCACGGTCCATATTTTAGTTCTTGTGGACCATTGGTGATCGATGGACCACAGGTTGGGAACCACATATTAAACTGGGAAAAAGTTGATGTCATAATGTAGTGACTATACTCATCCTTGGGGACTACAAAGCTCCTATGAACCAGACCTTATTGAAGAACCAAATTTTGGGCCACTTGTATGCCAGATCTCAACACTGTAGGCAATGCAGGAGGAGGTGACACAGGATGCCACATTCCAGGCTAAAAAGGTCTCTCTCTCTCTAAAGCAGTGGTTCTCAACCTGGGGTCCCCAGATGTTTTTGGCCTACAACTCCCAGAAATCCCAGCCAGTTTACCAGTTGTTAGGATTTCTGGGAGTTGTAGGCCAAAAACATCTGGGGACCCCAGGTTGAGAACCACTGCTCTAAAGATCTCTATGCTTCATAATTCTAATTGATAGCCATGGGTGTTCTGGATGAAGAACCATATCAGCTGTGGCCAACTCCTTTCAGATCGAGACACCTTATAATCTAGATGATCCAATCAGATAATCAACTACATCTGCTTTGAACTGGATTATATGAGTCTACACTGCCATATAATCCAGTTCAAAGTAGATAATCTGGATTGAGAAGAGACCCAAGATTCATCTTCCCATGGGACCTGTCCAGGGTTCTGAAGGACTTGGTCTCTCGTGCTTGGTGTTATTGATGGAGACACAGAATTCATTAAAGCATTGACTATGAGCTGCTCTCCAAGGTGCTGAATTGATGTTGGCAACAAGATTCAGGACTTTGGCAAGTTTGAACTATAGTATGGAATGGATTGAAGACTTCAACAACACTTTGTAACACTTTTTTTTTGGTTCCTGGTTATAAATGCCAGGAACCAAACTGCAAAAACATTGTTTTGGCAGGAGGGACATCCTGCATAACACATTGCTATGGTTTTTCAATGCATATCTCACCATCGAGTCTCAACCAATTGAAGAGAGTTTGTGGTAGCCACAAAAAGGAAGTTTCTGGAGTAGAATAACTGCTTTCTAAGTTTTTTGTTGTTGTTGTTGTGTCAGGAGTGACTTGAGAAACTGCAAGTCGCTTCTGGTGTGAGAATTGGCCGTCTGCAAGGACGTTGCCCAGGGGACGCCAGGATGATTTCTAAGTAAGTACCACACAATTAAACAGGAAATAAGACTTTCCAACCAGGAAGAAAACATTTTCAAATTTTGTTACATAGCATATTGTAGAGGCTCTGGACCTGACTCTTTGGCCACCATTCTTATTTTGTGATGTTGATTTAGCCCGAGATTCAGGTGATCACAGCCAAAGTTTTCTTGGTCATGTCCGGAGCAACTTGAGAAACTGCAAGTTGCTTCTGATGTTAGAGAATAGGCCGTATGCAAGGACGTTGCCAGGAGACGCCTGGATATTTTGATGTTTTACCACCCTTGCGGGAAGCTTCTCTCATGTCCCCGCATGGAAAGCTGAAGCTGATAGAGGGAGCTCATCTTGGTCTTCAGTCCTGCTGGCACAAGGGTTTAACCCACTGTGCCACCCTGCCAAAGTGAACTGTACTGATTAAGTATTCTACTTTTTCTTCATTGGGTTGCTGTAAGTTTTTTGGGCTGTATGGACATGTTTTTCTTCATTGTTTGTCCAGCTTGTTGGTGCCATTTCACTTGGTTGTGCACCTGATCAGGGTGTATGCCAGTAGTCTTCAGACTGATGTGTTTTCAAAGGCTTTCATGGCTGGAATCACTGGGTTGCTGTGAGTGTCCTGGACTGTATGGCCATGTTTCCAGAAGCACTCTCTCCTGACATTTCACCCACATATATGGCAGTCATCATCAAAAGTTGTGAGCTCGCAGATCCTTATGCAACATGTCCATCCAGCGTTGCTTCTGTCGTTCCCTTTGGTCTCTTGCCAGGCACTTCTAAATCAAGGGGATGCTTCTTGAACGTGGCCATACAGCCCAGAAAACTCACAGCAACGTAGTGATTCCAGCCATGAAAGCCTTTGCCAACACATAGGATTTTGGTCAGACCACACCTGGAATATTGTGTCCAATTCTGGGCACCACATTTCAAGAGAGATATTGACAAGGTGGAATGTGTCCAGAGAAGGGCGACTAAAATGATCAAGAGTCTGGAGAACAAGCCCTATGAGGAGTGACTTAAGGAGCTGGGCATGTTTAGCCTGAAGAAGAGAAGGATGAGAGGAGATATGATAGCCATGTATAAATATGTGAGAGGAAGCCACAGGGAGGAGGGAGCAAGCTTGTTTTCTGCTTCCCTGGAGACTAGGACGCGGAACAATGGCTTCAAACTACAAGAAAGGAGATTCCATCTGAACATGAGGAAGAACTTCCTGACCGTGAGAGCTGTTCAGCAGTGGAACTCTCTGGCTCAGAGCGTGGTGGAGGTTCCTTCTTTGGAAGCTTTTAAACAGAGGCTGGATGGCCATCTGTCAGGGGTGATTTGAATGCAATATTCCTGCTTCTTGGCAGAGGGTTGGACTGGATGGCCCATGAGGTCTCTTACAACTCTTTGAATCTATGATTCTATAAGGAAACGTCCCTTGCCTTGATTCTGTTTTGAAGATATGAAAGATTTTGAAATTGGATGGCAACCTCTCCCAAAGTAATACTCCTTTGAACTGCATCTCTCTATATATATACACACCAGTGGTTCCCAACCTATGGACCGTGGACTGCCAGTGGTCCGCATGAACTAAAATATGGTCCTCAGCCTCACAATTGCTACACTGTTGCCTCAAAACCATGTGGCAACGAGAGCAACTGGTCTCACGAAACCCTCTTATAATGCTGAGGCAATGGGGATGTTGGGAGAGGAGATGCTGACTACTTCCTCATTGTCCCCCCCATTGTCACAATCGCGTCTGGTGGAGATAAGGGACAGGGCCTTTTCTGTGGTGGCCCCCCGGCTATGGAACTCCCTCCCAAGTGAAATTAGATCTGCTGCATCCCTCTTGACCTTCCGGAAACAAGTAAAATCCTGGCTATGGGATCAGGCCTTTGGAGAATAGTCTGACCTACTGACGTGTTGACTTATTTAGAACTGATGAACTGCCCTTGGATAATGATTTAAATTGGTGACCGCTGACTGGAGAACAAGCCCTTTGAGGAGTGGCTTAAGGAGCTGGGCATGTTTAGCCTGAAGAAGAGAAGGATGAGAGGAGATATGATAGCCATGTATAAATATGTGAGAGGAAGCCACAGGGAGGAGGGAGCAAGCTTGTTTTCTGCTTCCCTGGAGACTAGGACGCAATGGAACAATGATTCAAACTACATCTGAACATGAGGAAGAACTTCCTGACTGTGAGAGCTGTTCAGCAGTGGAACTCTCTGCCCCGGAGTGTGGTGGAGGCTCCTTCTTTGGAAGCTTTTAAACAGAGGCTGGATGGCCATCTTTCAGGGGTGATTTAAATGCAATATTCCTGCTTCTTGGCAGGGGGTTGGACTGGATGGCCCATGAGGTTTCCTCCAACTCTTTGATTCTATGACTTTTATTGTATTTTCTTGCATGGCCAAATTGGGTTGGCCCTTGTGGACTATGATCCCAAGCCACGGGACATCCATCATTCTACCAATGTGCATAGACATGGTGGAACAATTCAATCGTGTGCACTTGCAAAGCTGTTGATAAAGTTGCAAGCCTCACACAGAATTCAGGCAATGTCCTATTTACCCTGCAGCTTCCCAGCTCATTGGTCCTCCCCACCAAAAGAGATATATAAAAAGAACAATTGGATGTCAGCCTTTCTTTCCCCAGTAGGTGAGTAAAGGTCACCTTTTCTCCAGAGGTATAAAGGCACATCACACAGAGAGAGGATGCTGCTTCTCCCGTCTCTCTTGGCTCAGCAGCCAGCGGTGCAATTTACACTTCAGGAACAAGGAGCCGGGCTGAATTGTTTTGATACGAGATCCATAATTGGCATCATTACAGAGTGGTGAGCTCATCTGGGTTGCCTCTCCTTCCCTCCCTCCCTCCCCAGGAGGGATGCAAGCAGGTCTTGGTATTGCACAGAAGTCTATAAACACCATGTAACACCATGATTTTTGTCCCTGGGTTATAAATGTTATTTCCTAAGTGGTTCTATGAAAAAAAAAAGTTTATTAAAATGCAGCTAGTTAGTAGCCAGCTGCATTAAATCACTACTGACTGAGAGGTCATGAGTTCGAAACCAGCCTGGGTTGGAGTAAGCTCCCAACCATTAACAATCTAGCTTGCTATTATTTATTTACAGTATTTATATTCCACCCTTCCTCATTCCGCAGGGGACTCAGGGCGGATTACAATGTACACATACATGGCAAACATTCAATGCCAAAGACACACAACAGATATAGACAGACAGTCAGAGGCTATTTAACTTTTCTGGCCGCCAGGGGAGCTGTCGCTTTCATTGTCCATCTGCATCACTGATGAAGTACTTCCGCATTCCCTGCATGCTTTGCTGGAGTCTTTTTTTATGGCCTTGTAAATTAGTTAAATTAGCCTCCCCACACATAGGTGGTACCTAATTTTCCTACTTGACAGATGCAACTGTCTTTCGGGTCGCAAAGGTCGACAACAAGCTACACAATTGATCGGAAGCTCACTCTGACCCGGGCTGGCTTCGAACTCATGGTCAGAAGTGATCTTAATGTGGCTGACACTCAGCCAGTTGCGCCACAGTCCCAGTGCTGTTGCCCTATGCAGCCTGAAAGACAGTTGCATCTCTCAAATAGGAAATTTAGTTACCACTTTATGCAGTTCGAAAACATGCAAATGTGAGTAGATCAATAGGTACCGCTCCGGCGGGAAGGTAATGGCACTCCATGCAGTCATGCCGGCCACATGACCTTGGAGATGTCTACGGACAACACTGGCTCTTCGGCTTAGAAATGGAGATGAGCACCACACCCCAGAGTCAGACATGACTGGACTTAATGTCAGGGGACTACCTACCTTTACCTTATACAGATAGGAAAATTTAACTAATTTATGACAACATAAAACCTTCCAGCAGCGTGCATAAGAATGAGGAAGTACTCCACCAAGGACTCGGTTTCACAAGTGGACTATGAAGTGGCAGCTCCCCCTGTGGCCAGAACTGAGCATACACTCATGAAACTGGAAAGCTGGAATGTTAAATTGCCAACATAGCCTTCTGAATGCAGCGACCCCTTAATACAGTTCCTCATGTTGTGGTGACCCCCAACCATAATATTATTCTTGTTGCTACTTCATAACTGTCATTTTGCTACTGTGATGAATCGCAATGTAAATATCTGATATGCAAGATGGATTTTCATTTACTGGACGATATTTTGAACAAATACCCAATATGTCTATATATATTGTATGCCTATGGAATTGAATGTTTGCCATGTATATGTCCATTGTAATCCGCAGGGTGAGAAGGGTGGAATATAAAAACTGTAAATATAATAATAAATATTTTTCAAGCTACAGTAGAGTAGTGTTTCTCAACCTTCCTAATGCCACGACCCCTTAATACAGTTCCTCATTTGTGGTGACCCCCAACCATAAAATTATTTTCGTTGCTACTTCATAACTGTCATTTTGCTACTGTTATGAATCGTCATGTAAATATCTGATACGCAAGATGTATTTTCATTCACTGGACGATATTATTTTCTGTGTTTAATTGTGATATTATATTATTTGATGTGCTTTTTGTATTGTTTTTTGTATTTTGTCTTTTATTTTTATTTTATTTTATTGTCGTTGTATGTTGTTATTAGCATTGCTGCACTGTATTGTAGGRCTTGGCCTCATGTAAGCCGCCCCGAGTCCCCTTGGGGAGATGGTGGTGGGGTATAAATAAAGTATTGTTGTTGTTGTTGTTGTTGTTGTTGTTGTTGTTGTTGTTATTATTTGGAACAAATATCCAATATGGCCAAATGTGCATACTGGTGGGGTTGGGGGGGGGATTGATTTTGTCATTTGGGAGTTGTAGTTGCTGGGATTAAGGGTTAAGAGAGAGGCAGTGGGCGGGGTCATGCAAATTCTACACAAGGAACCCTGGGATGCCTGCCTGTGGTGGAGAAAACATGTCAAATCTTGGTTGAAAWTCTCCCCAAATGAAAGCATTCCTTGGATGGTGGGCCGTAGTGTTTGGGAAGAACATTGGCCGTGTTTGGTCTACATGTTCATAATGCTCGCTCTAACCTGCAATGTAAGTTGAGGGAGTGCCTTTGGAGGCTTCTCATCACTTGGAACTACAGCCTGTTTATGGAGGCCGGATGCTGTCTGCGTAAGTGGACATCTCCACCACATGCACACATATACGTTTTTCACTTTTATTATGTGTATAGATAGATTGCTTTCTGTGGGTGAGCAGATGGCAACTATTGGAAGGCATATGTTCTGTATCAGAAAATAGAGCTGATGTGGTCTATCCATGCAATTTTGTGAATCACCACCCCAAAAAGCAACCCAAAACTAAGGCTAACCAAAAACTGATTTGTAAACCTTTAGATACTAATGTTGATGAGTAGTCCCTGGCCAAAGTAGTCCCTGGCCAAGTGGTTGGGAACCACTGTTGTAGTGGTTTGATTATTGGACTTGGACTCTGGAAGACTTTCACAATGGGCACAAAGGTTTCTAGAACATATAAATACCTATTCCATATACATCTGGGCACTGAAGCTTCAGACTGCTGCTCCGCTTGGTGGGGTGGGTGCATTCTCCTTGCATCCCTCTACAGAGGTGAAATGAACCACTCCAGGTGCCGTCCCTTCGGCAGTGGATCACGTTGTTCTCCTGACCCTGGAGAAGAAAGGAAGGGAAAGAGATCAAAAGGGGAAAATGGATATGTATCCTGGAAGATTTAATATGCTTGTGGGTCAAAAGGTTTTGCCTCCTGTGTCATAAACACGTTATGAATGAACCTATAACAGCAGAAGTTGCTACAGATAATAGCCTGAACTGTCCTCTATGCAAAACTACCATTCAACAGAGTCACCATCAATTTGTACACACAACTGAAGGGAAATATTGACTCTAAGCTGGAATATGTCCAGAGGAGGGCCACTGAAAGGATCAAGGGTCTGGAGAACAAGCCCTATGAGGAGTGGCTTAAAGAGCTGGACATGTTTAGCCTGAAGAAGAGAAGGCTGAGAGGAGACATGATGAAGGCCATGTGTCAAGATGTGAGGGGAAGTCATAGGAGGGAGCGAGCTTGTTTTCTGTGGAACTATGGCTTCAAACGACAGGAAAGGAGATTCCAACTGAACATTAGGAGAACTTCCTGATTGTGAGAGCTGTTCAGCAGGGGAACTCTCTGCCCTGGAGTTCTGATGAAGGCTGTTTATTTGGAGGCTTTTAAACAGAGGCTGGAAGGCCATCTGTCGGGAGTGCTTTGAATGTGATTTTCCTGCTTCTTGGCAGAATGGGGTTGGACTGGATAGCCCATGAGGTCTTTTCCAGCTAGAATTCTATGATTCTATGATTCAATGATGGTGATGATGAGTCATCATATAGATTTCCCATCCCACATCCAGAATTCCAAAATCCTCCAAAATCCAAAATTGTGGTTGTGATAGTGATCATGTGACCATGTAGCTATGATTCTATGGTTCTATAGTGATGATGATGATGATGGTGATGATGATGGCGGTGGTGGTGGTGATGGTGATGAGCAGTCGTCATCATATAGATTTGACATCCCCCATCCAGAATTCCAAAATCCTCCAAAATCAAAAAAATGTGGTTGTGATAGTGATCATGTGACCATGTAGCTCTGATTCTATAGTGATGATGATGGTGATGATAATGGTGATGAGCAGTCGTCATCATATAGATTTGACATCCCACATCCAGAATTCCAAAATCCTCCAAAATCCAAAATTGTAGCTGTGCTAGTGATCATGTAGCTATGATTCTATAGTTATGATGATGAGTAGTCATCACCATATAGATTTCACATCCTGCACCCAGAATTCCGAAATCCCCCAAAATTGTAGCCGTGACAGTGATCATGTAGCTATGATTCTATGATGATGATGATGAGTACTCGTCATCATATAGATTTCTCATCCCATATCCAGAATTCCGAAATCCCCCAAAATTGTAGCTGTGACAGTGATCATGTAGCTATGATTCTATAGTGATGATGATGATGAGTAGTCGTCACCATATAGATTTCACATCTTGCATCCAGAATTCCGAAATTCCCCAAAATTCAAAATTGTAGCTGTGACAGTGATCATGTAGCAATGATTCTATAGTGATGGTGATGATTAGTCATCATATAGATTTCACATCCCATATCCAGAATTCCAAAATCCCCCAAAATTGTAGCTATGAGTGAACATGTATCATGTAGCCACAATTCTATGATTCTATAGTGATGATGATGATGGTGATGACCGGTTGTCATCATATAGATTTCACATCCCATATCCACTATTCCGAAATCCCCCAAAATCCAAAATTGTAGCTGTGACAGTGATCTTGTGATCATGTAGCTATAATTCTATGATGATGATGATGAGTCGTCATCATATAGATTTAACATCCCATACCCAGAATTCCAAAATCTTCTAAAATCCATATGATGGTGATCATATGATCATGTAGCTATGATTCTATGATGATGGTGGTGGTGGTGGTGGTGATGAGCAGTCGTCATCATATGGATTTCACATCCCACATCCAGAATTCCGAAATTCTCCAAAATCCAAAATTGTACCTGTGATAGCGGTCATGTGATCATGTAGGTATGATTAGATGATTAGATGATGATGATGATGATGATGATGATGATGTTGAGTAGTTGTAATAATATAGATTTCACATCCCATATCCACTATTCCGAAATCCCCCAAAATCCAAAATTGTAGCTGTGACAGTGATCTTGTGATCATGTAGCTATAATTCTATGATGATAATGATGATGATGAGTTGTCATCATATAGATTTAACATCCCATACCCAGAATTCCAAAATCTTCTAAAATCCATATGATAGTGATCATATGATCATGTAGCTATGATTCTATGATTCGATGATGATGATGATGGTGGTGGTGGTGGTGATGGTGATGAGCAGTCGTCATCATATGGATTTCACATCCCACATCCAGAATTCCAAAATTCTTCAAAATCCAAAATTGTACCCGTGATAGTAGTCATGTAATCATGTAGGTATGATTAGATGATGATGATGATGATGATGAGTAGTCGTAATCATATAGATTTCACATCCCATATCCACTATTCTGAAATCCCCCAAAATCCAAAATTGTAGCTGTGACAGTGATCTTGTGATCATGTAGCTATGATTTTATGATGGTGATGATGCTGATGATGAGTAGTCATCATCATACAGATTTTATATCCCATATCCAGAATTCAGAATTCCCCCAAAATCCAAAATTGTAGCTGTGATAGTAATCATGTGTTCATGTAGCTATGATTCTATGATGATGATGGTGGTGATGATGAGTTGTTGTCATCATATAGATTTCACATCCCATATCCAGAATTCCGAAATTCCCCAAAATTGTAGCTGTGATAGTAATCATGTGATCATGTAGCTATGATTCTTTGATGATGATTCTATGATGATGATGATTCTATGATGGTGGTGGTGGTGGTGATGAGTAGTCATCATCATACAGATTTTACATCTCTCATCCAAATTCCGAAATTCCCCAAAAATGTAGCTGTGATAGTGATCATGTAATCATGTAGTTATGATTCTATGATGATGATGATGATGGTGATTATGAGTAACCGCTATCATATAGATTTCACAACCCATATCCAGAATTCCGACATTCCCCAAAATTGTAGCTGTGATAGTGATCATATAGCTATGATTCTATGATGATGATGATGATGATGATTCTATGATGATGATGATGGTGATTATGAGTAGTCGTCATCATATAGATTTCACATCCCATATCCAGAATTCCAAAATCCCCCAGAATCCAAAATTGTAGCAGTGATAGTGACACCTTTGCTTTTGGATGCTTTGATGTACACAAACATTGTGTCATGACCAACATGACTTCAAATTTCTGTGTAGCCAAAAAAACCGGAGGACCAGTAAGGCTTCTAATGGTTTAATCCTCCTCGTAAGCCAGGAAGAAGGGGAAAAAAAAACTTGGATTCCAACAAGACTGGAGAACTAAGTGCCAAGGTACATATCATATAAAGTTAACGACTAAATTATATAGATCTCCATCTGGGGAGAGGGGAGGTTTCCCTCACAGTCAAGCTTATGTTTCCCCAGTAGGAAAAAAATATTCCCATGCCTTCATGCCCCAAGAAATTACCTCTTTGTTCAGAAGCAAGACACATATGCGCTTTATGCATGGAATAATCTCACTCCATGCAGTAGCTGTATAAACCCCTTCAGCCACGATACCACCAAAGACTGGGTACTTTTATGTACTCGCACCTATACACATGGATTATGAGTTGTTTTATACAGACGTAAACATACCAAATTTCCCACTTGGCCCCACCATGGTTTTCCCCGGTGGGGTGATTCCCATCTCACTGTGTGTGCAGTTGAGGTTTCCATTTCTGACACGACGTGTGAAGTGCCTCAGGGCGCACCTTTCCGATGACATCAACAGGAGTTTCCTCCATGAAAAACTGAGACCGAGAGGACGAAACGTATTCAGTTGGCAAAGAAGCTGCCAAGGCTGTTGGTGGCCCTCTTTGCCCAAACACATTTATGTGTGTTTAAAGGAGGGAAGGTGGGAGAGAAAGAGACAAGACCCAACCGAGCCGAGAGCCAAAGACGGAGGGGATCCACACCAGTCCATCCCGCCTGGGATTTTTCGGGATTGCAAAGAGAATATGCCATTTGTTCACATTTTATGCATGCTTAAAGAGAGAGAAAGAGTCTGGCAGTCCATCCCAGCTGAGAAAAAAGGGAAAGCAGCCAAAGAGCAGGGTGGAAGAGTGTAGGAAAGGAAAATACAAGGGAATGGAAATGATAGAACCATTGGAGATCTACGTAACTCAAGGGTATGGAACATCATTCACCCCAAGAGCTGCACTCAGCTTGAGAGAAGGAGCTGCATGACCAGTGGTGCAGGGACCAAAGATAAAAAGGGTGGAGCCAAACTTACACATGGGAATGTTTCTATAAGGATGCCAGCCAATAAGTAGGAGGAGGAATATATGTTCCAGGAGGCCTAACACTCTTCTCATTAAGCCAGAGGCCTATCCATCTAGTCAAATGGATGACAGCTCCCAGAATCCCTGAGTAAGCAATTTTCTTGCAATAGCCAAGCTGGCTAGAGAATTGGGGAAAATGACTACTTACTTACCTACCTACCTACCTATGTATCTATCCATCCATCCATCCATCCATCCATCCATCCATCCATCCATCCATCAATCTGACTATCTATCCATCCATTCATATATCTATCCACCATCTATTCATTTATCCATCTATCAATCTGCCTATCTATTCATCTTTCATCCATCTTTCATCCATCCATCCATCCACCCATCCATTTACCCATATATCTATCTATCCATCCATCCATCTATTCATGTATCCATCTATCCATCTGCCCATCCATCCATCCATCTACTGATTTATCCATCTATCCATCATCTATTCATCTATCTATCTATCTATCTATCTATCTCTATCCATCAATCCATCCATCCATCTATCCATCTATTGATCTGCCCATCTTTCAATCTGCCCATCCACCCATCCATCCATTCATTTATCCATCTATCCATCTGCCCATCCATCCATCCATCCATCCATCCATCCATCCATCCATCCATTGATTTATCCATCTATCCATCATCTATTCATGTATCTATCTATACATCCATCCATCCACCTGCCTATCATCTATCTAGTTATCCATCCGTCTATATATTTATCCGTCTATCCATATCAATCTGTCTATCTATCTATCTATCTATCTATCTATCTATCTATCTACTCATCTATCTATCCATCCATCCATCCATCCATCCATCCATCCATCCATCCATCCATCCATCTGCCTATCATCTATCTAGCTATCCATTCGTCTATATGTTTATCATCTATCCATATCAATCTGCCTATCATCTATCTATCTATCTATCTATCTATCTATCTATCTATCTATCTATCTATCTATCCACCCATCTATCCATATACCCAGCTATCCGTCCGTCTGTCCATCCTTCCTTCCATCCATCCACCCATCCATCCAGTCTCTTTCTGCTGTCAAGCCTGGCTGTGAATGTTGTTTTGAAGGTTTGGTCTACCCAAAGGAACTGTACAAATGGAATGGAATGGAAGGAAATATCATCTTGTGTTCTTTCTCCCCTGTGATTGATTTGGGATAGTAGACTCTCGCCATGCCTTGTCAGGATTGCCAACAGGAATCTTTTCCTGTCCTAAGCATAGGTATTGGGGCACTTCTGCTAGGCCTAGTTTCCCTCCTGTCCTCTTGTTAGGACTCACAGATTGGCTGTCCTCTTCGGCGCAGTTGATCCGGCACTCACTGTTGAACTGGAAGCCATTTGTGCACTGGTAAAGCCCATGGAACTTGGAGGGTGGTGGGTCGCAGGTGACTGGGATGCACGCCCCTTCGAGCCAAGTTCCATCTTGAGTGCACTGGATTTTAAAAGTCCTCCTAACAAACATGCAAAAAAGAAAACAAGAAAAGCAAAACAAGGAATAAAACAGAGGGTTATTTATTGAAAGAGCGGCTCGACATTTTCCCAACCTACCTCGAAGGGAGGTCTTTGCCCCTCCGACAGTTATGAACAGGGGCTGTGGAATATATTTTGCGAAAAAGACATCCTGAGCTCTTGCAAGAACAACGACTGTTTGTGAAGGCAGACACACGCCATTCAACCGGGGGGAACCTTTTCCGGAGTTGCTGGGAACTTGTGGCCGGTGGCTACTTTTGATGTGGTTGCCTAGGCCCACATGTGTCTGTGTTTCCCCAAGCCATAAAAACGTAGGATACCAGTAAACCTTTGCCGCCCGAGGTTCAAAGGGGACTCCCCAGGTTGCATATCAAAGAGGGTATTTCCAAAAGTCAGGCTTCCCTTCACACTAAGCTGGCTTGCCAATGAAAGGGATTAGAGATGCAGAAAGGCGAGAGAGGGAATGAATTTTACTGCCCATGATGTCTTTAGTAAATGGACGGGTACCACATTGCTCAGAGCCATATTCTGTCGATTCTCAGTTCGTTGGAAGTCAAGCAACCAGAACTCTCAAGCATGCGGCAGAATAAATAAAACAGTGGATGTGGCTCTTAATGAGACATGCCGCATTATCACGGGGTGTCTGCGCCCTACACCACTGGAGAAATGACACTGCTTAGCCGGTATTGCACCACCTGACATCCGCCGGGAAGTAGCAGCCAATAGTGAAAGGACCAAGGCAGAGACATCTCCAGCTCATCCCCTGTTTGGGTATCAGCCAGCACGTGAATGACTTAAATCAAGACATAGTTTTCTTAGATCTACAGAGACACTCGCTGGAACACCTCAGCAAGCGAGAGTCCAAAAGTGGCAGGCCCAAACCCAGCACCTCAATCCATGGGTGATACCAGATGAGAGACTCCCCCCTGGGCACACAGAAGACTGGGCGACTTGGAAGGCGCTGAACAGACTGCGCTCTGGCACCATGAGATGTAGAGCCAATCTTAAGAAATGGGGCTACAAAGTGGAATCCACGACATGCGAGTGTGGAGAAGAGCAAACCACTGACCACCTGCTGCAATGCAACCTGAGCCCTGCCACATGCACAATGGAGGACCTTCTTGCGGCAACACCAGAGGCACTCCAAGTGGCCAGATACTGGTCAAAGGACATTTAATCAGCTACCAAGTTTGCAAAATTTGTGGGGTTTTTTAATCTGTTTGTTTTGTTCTGTTAGAAATGTAATACAATGTTCTGGTTGCGGATGACACGATAAATAAATAAATCAGAATAAATTAGCTAAAATTGCATACTGTACTCCTAAAGCTATGTTCATAATACAGATAAGCTGTATTACATTATGTTCATCATTGTTTGCCTTAATTTGCATTTTATTATCAACTACCCGTCCCCTGCCACGCGTTGCTGTGGCCCACATGGGGGTTCTGTGTGGGAAGTTTGGCCCAATTCTATCGTTGTGGGGTTCAGAATGCTCTGTGATTGTAAGTAAACTATAAATCCCAGCACTACAACTCCAAATGTCAAGTCTTTTCCCCAAACTCCACCAGTGTTCGACATTTGGGCATATTGTATTTGTGTAGAGTTTGGTCCAGACCCATCTTTGTTTGAGTCCACAGTGATCTCTGGATGTAGGTGAACTACAACTCCAAAACCAAAGGACACTGCCCACCAAACCCTTCCAGTATTTTCTGTTGGTCATGGGAGAACTGTGTGCCAAGTTTGGTTCAATTCTATCGTTGGTGGGGTTCAGAATGCTCTTTGATTGTAGGTGAACTATAAATCCCAGCAACTACAACTCCCAAATGTCAAGATTCTATTTTCCCCAAACTCCACCAGTGTTCACATTTGGGCATATTGAATATTCGTGTAGAGTTTGGTCCAGATCCATCATTGTTTGAGTCCACAGTGATCTCTGGATGTAGGTGAACTACAACTCCAAAACCAAAGGACACTGCCCACCAAACCCTTCCAGTATTTTCTGTTGGTCATTGGAGAACTGTGTGCCAAGTTTGGTTCAATTCCATTGTTGGTGGGGTTCAGAATGCTCTTTGATTGTAGGTGAACTATAAATCTCAGCAACTACAACTCCCAAATGACAAAATCAATTTTTTGAGTGAAGGACATACATTGGGTTGTTAGGTGTCATGTGTCCAAATTTGGTGTTAATTCGTCCAGTGGTTTTTGAGTTCTGTTAATCCCATAAACTAACATTACATTTTTATTTATATACTAGCTGTACCTACCACACGTTGCTGTGGCCAACCTTTCCTCCCTCTTTCTCTCCTTCTTTCTTTCTCTCCTTCATTTTCTCTCCTTTCTTTCCTCCCTCTTTCCTTCCTTCCCTCTTTTTCTTTCCCTTCTTCTTTCTTCCTTCTCTACCTGTTTCTTTTCTTCCTTTGCTCTTTGGTTCCATCCTTCCTTCTCTTTCCTTCTTTCCCTCCCTCTTTCTCTCTTTTGTTCCTTCTCTCCTTCCTTCCCTCTTTCACTTTTTTATTTCATTCTCTTCCTCCTTCTCTTCTTCCCTTTGTTCTCTTTCTTTCTTCTCTCCTTCCCTCCTTCTTTCCCTCTTTCTTTCTCCTTCCTTCCTTCTCTCCTTCTTCCTTCTCCCTCCTTCTTCTTCCTTTCTCCCTTTCCTCCTCTTCTCCCTTCCTCCTTCCTTTCTTCTCCTCCTCCTTTCTCTCCTTCTCTCTCCTTCCTTCTCTTCCTTCTTTCTTTCTCTTTCTTCTCTTCTCTCCTTCTCCTTCTTTCCCTTTCCTCTTCCTTCTCTCCTTCCTTCCTTCTTTCTCTCCTTCCTCCTTCTTTCTCTTCTTCTTTCCTCTTTCTCTTCCCTTCTTCTCTCCTTCCTTCCCTACCCTTCTTTCCTTTTTTCTCTTCCCTCCTTCTTTCCCTCTCTTTCCTCTTTCTCTCCCTTCTCTTCTTCTCTCCTTCCTTCTTCTTCCTCCTTTTTTCTTTCTTCTCTCCTTCTTTCCCTCTTCCTTCCCTTTTCCTCCTCCTTCCTTCCTTCTGCTTTTCCTTCCTCCTTCCTTCCTTCCTTCCTTCTCTACCCTTCTTTCCTTCCTTCCTTCTCTCCTCCCTCCCTCCTTTCTGTATATGTATTTTGTGTGTTTATATGAATATATGTGTGTGTATATGTGTTTGTGTGTATATATGTGGTTTTGTGCATGCGTTGTAATGGGGAT